GTAGTTTTTCAAGTACCAGAAACTTTGAACGTTTTAAATGGAGGAGCCAGTTTAATCTATGATTCCGTAGTTTTATCATTTTGGTAAATAGTCGGCCGAATGTTCTTGCAAGTAGATCTGATAGGTTTTGCGTAGGGGAGTCAAAAGGCATATTCGCCTAACTGGAAAGTAATAGCCACCATAGGACAATTCTCCTTGTTCGTATGTGATTAAACCATCCGCATCCATGCTAAGTATGTGTATTTGGCTGTGCAGCGGGTATCAGTAGAACCCAATTGAATATCCAACGCGCTAATAACGATAGATAGTCAAATTATTAGAGTCTGTGATTGTTGTAACTGGCAGCCAGGTGGTTTCGCATGTATACTCTTTGCAAACATGTTAAAACCTCGTATGATTTATAAGCAAGTATTGGTAACAGTTGCCCTAATAGTATAGAAACTGCAGGATAGTACGGCTGTCATTTTTCCATATATTGCTCTATAAATGGGCAAATTGGCCTCCCATTTGGCGGAAGTTCGTTAGGAAACGCTAACAAACTTAATTGTACCTGTGCGAACTATTCTCAAGAAATAGTTACCCTAGGAAGTTTGTACATGATACATGAGACGACGGGATTTAAGACAAAAAGAAAATGAATAAGATTCTTCCTATCGGGCGCCCAATTCAAGAAATTGGCGAACACTTCCATATATTAAAAACGCGTCTTAACTCGTTGAAAGACAACTGAGGCAGCATTAATAGGCGCGTTGAATTGGATGCGATGTACACCAACCTCAAGGAAGCCTGCTAAAGGCATCAGCCTGCTACTGACCAGAAATGACAAAGCATTATCGATTTTTTCGGTATGTTTAGAATACTCCCTGTTCTGTACACCTTTTTTCACTTGTCTGACGACGACATGGTGTGCCAGAGTCACACATTTACAATAAAGTTCGTTAGCGTTTTCCAACAAAATTTTTTCACCAGAAATATTTCCCTATCTATACTCCATTGTTATTTCGGATGGTTGTCAGATCAAGTTTACGCCAGAATTTAGACACAAAACCACGTAAGGAAGATCTTTTGTGCAGTCAGTGCTACAACTGTAATTGTAAACCGCCTTTTTTATAATCCTTCAGTACTACAAGAGTACCGGCAACGTGAAGGACGGATCGACCTTCTTCCTAAGCTACTGCGCTCCTACTAGGGAACACATGGAATGGCGCACAATCGTGCTCGCCCGCAAGAAGCCGCGACCCTTCTACGTGCAGCCAGTGACTTTTGAAAATTCGAACAAGACCATTACGCTTAAAAATTATCCCGGCAGCAATGAGGGCATAATTCAGTCGTTTGTCGACCGGTACTCTAGTCACCGTAAATTTGGTTTAGCTGCGCTGAAGGCCCTCAAGGCTGTGTGGGATCGCGACTACGCCCATTTCTATCCGCCGGCTGTGGAGTAATGCGCTCTGGCTTCCGCCTTTGCGGTCTCTTGTTTCTAACTGCTTCGAAGTTTCCTTACAGACCCCTTATTTTTTGTGTTTGGTTTTTCTTTCAAAACAGTTCTTTTTCTGTCTGTCTCCTTGAATTCTCGCTGCACATGTAGACTGCGCCTCACCCAGTCGTCGGGTGGCGTGCAGTGTCGTCCTGCCCAGTGTGTCGTCTTATGATCTGTTTGTCTGCTGTGCTGGCAAAATCCTACCGCCGTTTCCAGAGATTAAGCGCACAAGAGTCGACGTCTGGTGCATAGCATTAGCCGTAGAACTGTCAAAATTCTCGTGAGGTGCCCAGTTTAGAACTGCCGCTTGATGACGCGCACTGACATGCAAACGCTGCTGGATTAATCGACAGCTAGTTGCTCTGTCGACAGCAGAAGGATCCCCAAATCGCAAGTCAGGGAAGATGGAATGAACTGGAACAGCTTTACTGTGCTACTGTAGCCCTGCAATATCTTCTGCAAGCGCCGCATACAAAAGCCAGTCGATTCGGTGAAAAATTGTGGGTAGGATTATGCCGTGAGGTCGTCTGGGGAAAGTGTGAAGCGCGCTCCGCAGGCTCACGCACACCTGATTTTCGGGGAGAGGACGGGCATGTCAGGGAACAAATTAGATCCCAATATTTATGTTAAGTAAAAAAATTACGAGGGCAAGTTGGGTCGCGTACTCAAACCTTGGGAGAGGACACTGACATGAGCTTTAATATCATTGCTAACCCCTCGCCCGACCAACGGCGACCGCGTGTATTTAGGGGGAGTGTGCCCAAACCTCGGGCGAAGTAAATGAGAGACATTTTCCAGTGGTATAACCAACACCAACTAGGAAGAATTTTAACGAAGTACAAAAGTGGGGAGATTATGTAAATCACCCTACTTAAAATT